CCCCTAAGCCAGAAAACATAATAACAAAAAACAAAAAAGCAAGAAGACATATACAATTTAATATAGGCGCCAAAAGAGAGAATTCTAGCACAACAATGTACATGCAAACCCCAATACTTATTTATGATATAAGACTTGCTAAAAAATTTAGGTAGCAAGAAAATCAAACTCTACTTAGAACACTATAGCAAAGTAACTATATGAAACTGGCTACTATATAGAGAAAGAAAAACAGTCTTTATTAGTATAGTAGCAGATATAGGCACCTGGAGTCCTCTATTAAATTGTATATGTCTTCTTGCTTTTTTTGTTTTTTGTTATTATGTTTTCTGGCTTAGGGGCTTTTTTCTTTCTCTCTGTTGTTTGTTATCTGTTCTTCTATACCATAGTCAGTACTGCCTGCTTTATTTTCTACTAGTAATTCTTTTACTTCTTCAGAAATATTTCTCTCTATATTCTCATTGTTTTCTTGTCTATTACTATTTCTTTTTCATAAGTTTTCTTGATTTATTACTACTACTGTATTGTCACTATCTGTATTGCTTTTTGCTATTGGTGTAGTGATTTTATTTGATTTTATATAGCTAAAGTCTATCATAATAGGGCCGTTTTCACTCTTTATGCTTGTGTTAAAACATATTGTGATGTCAGTGTCATGCCCGAGCAGCTTCTTTTCTTTATCTGTAATAGGCTATTTTCTTATATCTTTACTCTCTGCCTATTTATACCTTTCTATTATGCTTCGAACAACTGCAATTAAGTATATATTACTTGTACCCAAGTACTTTGCAGCATGGACATCTTCATTTCATATTGTTGTGCATTGTTTTTTATATAGTAGCCTTCTTTCTCTTTTCATTTGTTTGAAAAAGTTTCTAAATTCTATTAGATCTGGCATTTATATTAGCTAAATTACTCTCTTTGTATCTTGGTAAGATCACGTGTTATCTGGTAAATTATATGTTTTTACATGTTTTTGGTATTGCTTACTATCTAGAACCTCTTGTGTTACTTTGTAGTTTGTGTTATACATGGAATTTGTATTACAGAGTATCTTGAATTTCCTACTTTTGCTTTGCAGAGTAGCAGGGTTTTTTGCAAGATTTTTAAAGGTGTGTCTGTGTTTATATTTAGCTTTGCTTTGCTGTAGGCCTATGTGTTGGCCATTATTGAGACTTTGGTATCTAGCTTCTTGTCTTTATTGGCTATGTTTAGGTATTTTCTTCTTATACACCCAACTAGTATCTTGCAGGGTGTAGTAGTATCTACTATTGTAGTTTTGGATATTTTTGTATTTGTAGAGCTATGCTTGTATTGCAACTTTTTTCTATTTAGTTGCTATATCTGTTTCTACTTAGTTTCTTGTATTAGGTATCATAGTAGTATCTTACTTTGCATGTGTGTTGTGTTTTGGCTTCTGTAGTTCCTTTGTACCAAGTGATCATTGGGGAGAGTTGATTGATGATGGTATAGTAGGAGCCTTTTGAGAGTCCTGGCACAATTTTGTGACCTGGTAGTCTTTTTTATATATTTCAAGTCATTCGAGCTCTATGTAGT